ACTAGGAATAGAAGGGAAGTGCCTCGACATAACAAGCACCATATATGACAAACCCATGGTGAACCACATACTCACTGGTAAAGACTAAAAGTTTTTCCTGTAAGATCAGGAACAAGACCAGGATGTCTGCTTTCGCTACCTCTATTCAACATAATACTGGAAGTCTCCTTAGCCAGAACAGTTAAGCAAGAAAAAGAAGTAAAAAGTTACAAGAATTGAAAAGGAAGAAGTACAGTTATCTCTGTTCATGGATGACATGATCATACTCAAGAAAAACCCAAACAAACCCAAGTTGTTAGAACTAGTAAATAGATTTAAATTTAGCAAAGTTGCAGGATATAAAATCAATACACAATGTCAGTTGCATTTCTATACACTAACAACCTGAAACAAAAATTGAAAAAGCAATTGTATTACAATGGCATCAAATAGAATAAAATATTTAGGAATACACTTAATGAAGGAGGCTAAATACTTGTACAGTGAGGTGGGCATTTGGGGCAGTTAAGAAACTGCTTGGGAAGCCTGCACCCATATCAGAGTGCCTGGGTTCAAGTCCCAGCTCTGCTGAGAATTTCACCTTCCTGGGAAGCAGCAGATGATGGCTCAGGTGAGTCCCTGAGTGAGTCCCTCAAGCGAGTCCCTCCCCCCACATGGAAGACCTGGACTGAGTTCTGGTCTCCTTGTTTTGACCTGACTCAGCTGTGGCTGTTGTGGGCATTTAGGGAGTGCACCAGTAGATGGAAGAATCTCTCTCTCACTCTCTCTGTTTTTTTTTAAACGAATGAATGAATGAATAAAGGAATTTTTTAAAAAAGACCTGTACACTAATGCTATAAAACATTGCTGATAGAAGTTGAAGAAAATATAAATAAATGGAAAAGTATCCCATGTTCATGGATTAGAAGACTTAAAATTGTTAAGATGTCAGTAGTACCCAAAACAGTCTACAGATTAAATCTCAACAATGTTTTCACAAAAATAGAAAAATCCATCCTAAAATGCATGTGGAATTTCAAGGAACCTCGAATAGCCAAAACGATCCTGAGAAAACTGGGAGTTGCTGTTCAATGTGTGCAGTTTCAGTTTGGGAAAATGCAAGGTTCTGACGATGGGGAGTGGTGGTAAGAATGCAGACATCGTAAAGCCACTGAGCTGTACACTCACAAATGGTTAAGATGGTGACTTTTATATACATTTTATTACAATTTTAAAGCATTATCAGGGTTTAGCATTCAAAAAGAACAATATATTATATATTCAGGGATTTATTTAAGATGCAAAAATGAATCTATGGTGTTAGTTGTGAGGACAGCAGTTACCCTTGGGAGAGGGTGAGTGCTGCTGCTGTTCTGTTTTCTGATCTGGTTGCTGTGACAGAGATGTGCACTGTTGGTGAGATTCTTGAGCTATATATTTTCAGCCTGTTTCTTCTTCTATATGAGTATTGTACAAAACAGATTCCAGCTAGATCAGTCATGGATCCCATAGCAGATCCACGGAGTCAGGGACCCAGGGACCTTGAATTTTAACAATCTCCTTTCCAGGGTTTTTTCTATTTTTTTCTTTTGAGATTTATTTATTACTTGAAACACAGAGTTAGAGAGAGGGAGAGGAAGAGAGAGAGAGAGATTTTCCATCTGCTGATTCACTTCCCAAATGGCTACAACAGCTGGAGCTGGGCCAGGCCAAAGCCAGGAGCCAGGAGCTTCATCCAGGTCTCCCACATGGGTGGCAGAGTCCCAGGTCCTAGGGCCATCTTCTGCTGCTTTCCCAGGTACATTAGCAGGGAGCTGGATTGGAAGTGGAGCAGCCAGAACTCGGAACTGGCACCTATATGAGATGCAGGCATCGCAGCTTAACCCACTATGCCACAGCACTGGCTTCCTGTTTTTTCTTAAGAACATTGGTTTAAAAGTAAAGGATTGGGTAAATATTTTTCCAGGAGCCAAGCCACTTTCAGTTACACAGTAATAATAAATATTTCTTAGAAAAGAAATTCATGGTTTGGGGCCAGCATTGTGGCACAGCAGGTTAAGCTGCCGCCTGCAATGCCAGCATCCCCTATGGGTGCCGCCGACTGAGTCCCGACTGCTCCATTTGTGACCCAGCTCCCTGCTAATGTGCCTGGAAAGGCAGCCAAAGATGGCCCAAGTACCTGGAACCCTGCCACCATGTGGGAAACCCAGATGGAGTTCCTGGCTTCCGCCTGGCATAGTCCCGGCTTAGCTGCCATCTGGGGAATGAACCTACAGATGGAAGACTGGTCTCTCTGTGTCTCTCCCTCTCTCTCTGTAATGCTGCCTTTCAAATAAATCAAATAAACCTTGACACAAGAGATTCACGGTTCACTTGAGCCCCTTACCTCTTCCTGTTAGGAAACTGACTGTCATCTCTCAAGGGCTGGGAGAACTAAGAAATCCATGACAGATGGACATGTAGAATTTCATGTTTCCTGGTTTAAAATTTTACTTTAATGTTTCATAATCATACATAGGTTATTTATGAATACTTGTCTAAAAGAGTGGAGAGCAGTTTTGCTGAGGCCCCTAAAATACGGCAGGTGCTAGGACCTCGTGGGATTCAGGAACCCTCACCTCCCGTCTTGGGGCGTGGTGTGGTATGAGCGGGTACAGAAAAGCCAGTTCTTCCACATGCAGCGGCTCGGGCTCTGTTTACGCTCTCCTCACTTACTGTCTCCGAGCCCTCTGCAGCTGTTGCATTTGCACACCGAACAGAAACCATGTTTCTTGCAAAGGCCCTCCTGGAAGGGGCAGATCGAGGCCTTGGAGAAGCTCTGGGAGGCCTTCTTGGCGGAGGTGGACAGCGAGGAGGCCGAGGAGCAGGAGGAGGAGGAGGAGGAGGAGGCAGCAGCGGCCTCGGAGGGATAGTCGGAGGCATTGTGAACTTCATCAGTGAGGCTGCAGCTCAGTACACCCCAGAGCCGCCTCCCCCGCAGACGCATTTCACGAACGTGGAGGCCTCGGAGAGCGAGGAAGTGAGGCGGTTTCGGCGACAGTTTGCACAGCTGGCCGGACCGGACATGGAGGTGGGTGCCACTGACCTGATGAATATTCTCAACAAAGTCCTCTCTAAGCACAAGGACCTGAAGACCGACGGCTTCAGTCTCGACTCCTGCCGGAGCATCGTATCGGTCATGGACAACGACGCGAACGGGAAGCTGGGCTTCGAGGAATTCAAGTACCTGTGGAACAACGTCAAGAAGTGGCAGTGTGTTTTCAAGCAGTACGACAGGGACCACTCCGGGTCTCTGCGAAGTTCTCAGCTGCGGGAGGCGCTGCAGGCAGCCGGCTTCCAGCTGAACGATCAGCTCTACCGGATGATGGTCCGCCGCTACGCGGATGAGGACGGGGGCATGGATTTCAACGACTTCATCAGCTGCCTCGTCCGCCTCGATGCCATGTTCCGTGCCTTCAAGGCTCTGGACAGAGACGCGGATGGCCTGATTCAGGTGTCCGTCCAAGAATGGCTGCAGCTGACCATGTATTCCTGAAGGGGGCGCTGCAAAGTCAGGACACTCGCTCAGAGCCTCGCCGTCCACACTGCTGGTACCTGTCCACCAGCTGCTGTTTCCTGTCGAGCTGTTTCACACCCCTACGTATTTCTGATCGTGGGCACCTTTCCTGCTTTCATTAAAACACGTTGTTTTTTTCCATGAAAATTGTGCCGAGGGTTGCTGTGTCGTCTTTCTCAGATACTGGGTTTGTATGGACTTATTTCTACATGGGATGGGGAGGAGTGCGTTCCAAGGGAGTAGACTTAAGGGTTGCTGCTTATTTAGTGAATGAACTCCACGGATAAGAATGCTATCATTGTTATTGTTTAAAAAAATTTCAAAATGTAAACCTTGGAATAAGTTAAGAAAGCAATGAGGAGATCAGTTTTTCCCTTTCAAAGGGTGAAGAGAGAGGTTCAGAGTCTGTTTTTCTCATAATTTCACATCTGGTCTTTCTATTATGTTAAAAAAAAGTGCTTTCCAGAAAGAATATTTACATAGAAACAGGCTCAGAAATGTGAAATAAAGCAATTTTATATAAGGGCAGCACTTTTTAAGATGGTGGCATAACTATTTAAAATTCCAGAATTCTTTGATTGTGTTTCTCTAGTAAAATAAGCATATTGTAATTTTGTTTTGCTATATTTGTAAAGAGGATTGAGGGCATTGGGGGCGGAAAATGGTATACCTTTAATTCAGAATGCCATTGGCTGTCTTCATGAATCATTCATGCTTCCTACAAAATCAGGCGTGCCCAGCTGGTGTCAGCCAGCTCGTGTCCTATCTTGTCCTGCCTTAGAGCAAGGAAAATTTTTGTGCTCATCTTGGAAAACTGTGGGCAGGTAAGGAAAAGTAAAACAAAGATTGAAAACATACACATAGCAATCAGTGCAGTGTAATATAAAGCGAGTCTTTATTTCAGTGGCTCTCGGCCCTGGCTGCAGTGTAGTATCAGCAAGCCAGCTCTTCAGCCATGCCGACACCTGGGTCCCACTTCAGTGAGGCCAATGAGACTCCCCACAGGCAGGGCCCAGAGAGAAACAGTCCTGAAGCTCCCCTGGTGATCTGATGACAGCCTCGGCTGCTTTATTTATTTATTTATTTATTTTTATTTTTTGACAGGCAGAGTGGACAGTGAGAGAGAGAGACAGAGAGAAAGGTCTTCATTTGCCGTTGGTTCACCCTCCAATGGCCACTGTGGCCGGCGCGCTGCGGCCAGTGTACTGTGGCCAGCGCACCGCGCTGATCCGATGGCAGGAGCCAGGTACTTATCCTGGTCTCCCATGGGGTGCAGGGCCCAAGGACTTGGGCCATCCTCCACTGCACACCCAGGCCACAGCAGAGAGCTGGCCTGGAAGAGGGGCAACCGGGACTAGAACCCGGTGTGCCGGCGCCACAAGGCGGAGGATTAGCCTAGTGAGCCGCGGAGCCGGCTTGCTTTATTTTTGTACTTATTCATTTCTTAAAGATGTATGTATGTATGTATTTATGTATGTATGTATGTATTTGAAAGTCAGAGAGAGAGAGAGAGGTCTACCATCTACTGGTTCAGTTCCCAGATGGCTGCAACAGCCAGGCCTGGGCCAGGTCAAAGCCAGGAGTCTTTTGGATCTCCCACGTGGGTGCAGGGCCCAAACACTTGGGCCATCTTCCACTGCTTTTCCAGGCTGTTAACAGTGAACTGGATCAGAAGTGGAACAGCTTGGACTCGAACTGGCACCCATATGGGTTGTTTGTGTTGCAGGTGGCAGCTTAACCCGGTGCCCAACACTCTTTGGCTGCTCTCCAAATCATCTCCCAGTATTTGTCAAATCTATCTCAGCAGAAACTCAGGCCCAACAGAAGAGTCAGTGTAGCAGACTCCAGGAAAAGAAAGAGAGAAGCCTAAGGCCCTGCCCCAAAGCTGGAGTCGTCGTGCCGGTCTGGGTAGAGCCCTTGGTTTGGCTTTCCAGTTTTCATGAGCAAGAGAATCCAGAATGGCAGTGCGAGCGGACCCAGCTGGCGAGGCTGCGTTTGCAAGGACGCAGTTCACCTGCCTGCTACCCCTTCTGTTTCTCTGGTGGCGAATGCATCCCCTCCATCCCAGGCTACTTTGGGGAGTCCTCCTGAGCTTGGAAATAAGTTTTTCCTTCCTCTTTTAACTCATTGTAACTATGGGAATGAGGTATCCAGCCCGTGAATAGCCCTCCAGCTGCCTGCTAGAAAGCTCCAGTGGCATTCATCCTCCGTGTTCCCTCCTCGTCTCCAGCACGTAATGTTTAGGAAGCTCCACACACATGTGATTCGGACCTGAGCCAGGCACAGCCCTCACAACCACTCTCCTCGAGGGACTTGGAATTGAACCTGGGGGTGGGGAGAGTGCTGCTTAGCTCAGGTATGGCTGTATGAGCACGAGGCTGCTGCCAGCAAGTGCATATGTCTGCATCAGCCTCCCTGTTTTACCACGAGCCTGGGGTGGGGGAGGGTAGCGGAGAGGGGAAGCTGCCAGGACGGCCTGAGAAGATGAAGTTGCTAGTTCAACCTTTCTGCAGGACGGCTGTGGAAAAGACAGTGCTGTTGCTCCGCACACTGCACCCTCCATCAAGGTTAGCAGGCATCTCACAGGAGGGCTGCTAGGAGGGATTCCCTGCTTTTAGGCTTCGCTGCCATCAGGCTCGCGAGAGAGCATCCTGAAGTGACCCAAGTTCCTCTCCTGGATTTGTACAACGCTTGTGTAAATAACCCCAGTCGCCAGAGTGGAAGAGCGAAAATCCAGTCCAAGCCCTGGACTTTTCCAAGTTGCCAAATCTTTGGCCCTGTCTAGAATTAGTGGACTAAAAAGTGATTGAATTTCTTATTTTCATCCAATATTTGATGTTTTCAAGGCACATTTTCAGTATAAAAGGATTTACTTGACAGCTTTTTAAAAAAGATTTACTTCTTTATTTTGAAAGAGCTACAGAGAGAGAAGGAGAAATGGAGAGAGGTCTTCCATCCATTTTGTTCACTCCCCAGATAGCCACAGTGGCCAGCGCTGACTCAGGCCTAAGCCAGGAGCCAGGAGCTTCATCTGGTCTCCCACATTGAGGGGCAGGGGCCCAAGCACTTGGGCCATCCTCTGCTGCTTTTCCTAGGCTGTAGCAGGGAGCTGGATCAGAAGTGGAGCAGCCAGGACTTGAACTGATGTCCATATGGGATGTTGGCATCACAGGCAGTGGTTTAACCCAGTAAGTCTCAATGCCAACCCCACTTGACAGTCTTAAAAATATATCCACTTCTGTATGGAATCGTACTTGTAGCCAAGATGAAGGTCTTTTTTTTTTTTTAAGATTTATTTATTTAAAAGGCAGAGTTACAGCAAGAGAAGGTAAAGAAAGGAGAGAGGGGCTGGTGCTGTGGTGTAGTGGGTAAAGCCGCTGCCTGCAGTGCCGGCATCCCATATGGGTGCCGTTTGAGTCCCGGCTGCTCCACTTCTGATCCAGCTCTCTGCTATGACCTGAGAAAGCAGTAGAAGGTGGCCCAAGTGCATGAGTCCCTGTACCCGCATGGGGGACTCCACTGAAGCTCCTGCCTCCTGGCTTTGGCCTGGCCCAGTCCTGGCCATTGCACCATATGGGACTGAACCAACTAATAGAAGATCTCTCTCTCTCTGTCTCCCTTTCTCTCTGTAATGCTGCCTTTCAAATAAATAAATAAATCTTTAAAAAAAATAAGAAAGGAAAGTAACTTTATCTTGGTATAATCCCCTAAATTCTGTAACTTGTAAAAGCAGGAGAAAATGTGCTCCGAACAGCAAACCAGAAACAAAATGTGTAAGGCGTCTGAAAAGTATTTTTAAGATATATTGAGTATTTTTAAAAGTTTGTTTACATAGCAATCCCAGTCAGAAATCTCAGTGTTACTGCACGACTACCCATAGTGGGAACTTAAAAGCAGCCTGTGGGGGGGCTGGCATGTGTCCTCGTGGGCTAAGCTGCTGTCCGCCACCCCGGCGTCCCGTGTTGGAACACTGGTTTGGGTTCCAGCCGCTCTGCTTCTTCTGGTCCAGCTCCTTGCTAATGGGCCTGGGAAAGCAGCAGAGGCTGGCCCAACTGCTTGGGCCCCTGCACTCATGTGGGAGACCCGGATGGAGTTCCTGGCTGCTGGCTTCCGCCTAGTCCAGACCTGGCTATCACAGCCACTTGGGGAGGGAACCAGTAGATGGAAGATTGCGCTCTCTCTATCAATCTGCCTTTCAAATAAATAAATAAACCTTTAACAAAATTCTGTGGAGGCATTGGGAGGCTATTAATATTTATTTATTTATTTATTTAGACAGGCAGAGTGGACAGTGAGAGAGACAGACAGAGAGAAAGGTCTTCCTTTGCCGTTGGTTCACCCTCCAATGGCTGCCGCGGCAGGTGTGCTGCGGCCAGCACACCGCGCTGATCTGATGGCAGGAGCCAGGTACTTATCCTGGTCTCCCATGGGGTGCAGGGCCCAAGCACTTGGGCCATCCTCCACTGCACTCCTGGGCCACAGCAGAGAGCTGGCCTGGAAGAGGGGCAACTGGGACAGAATCCAGCGCTCCAACTGGGACTAGAACCTGGTGTGCCAGCACCGCAAGGCGGAGGATTAGCCTAGTGAGCCGCGGCGCCGGCCAACTACTGATATTTAATATGCCTATTGATACTGAAGAACTTTCAGAATTATATTGTTATGTTTAATTTTAGGTTAAATGTTATGTTTAATTAAAGTTAATTCAAATTGAATTTAATTTTACATTTAGTCTCTCCCGTGTTGTTCTTTCAAATAAATAAATAAATTTTTTTTTTTTTAAAGAAATTTAAGGCCCAGACTGTCACCTTGTTCTGTGACTCATAGTAACATTAAGGAACTGTTACATTTCCATTTGTATTCAACTTCTATTCAAGACTTCCACACGGCAATTGCAGAAGATATCTGTGTTGAGCAGTCAGGCCATGGTGCAGAAAACTAAATGGTAGTGGCACAAGAGAAAATGATGCCCCTTGGCCGGCGCCACGGCTCACTAGGCTAATCCTCCGCCTGCGGCACCGGCACCCCGGGTTCTAGTCCTGGTTGGGGCGCCGGATTCTGTCCCAGTTGCCCCTCTTCCAGGCTAGCTCTCTGCTGTGGCCCGGGAAGGCAGTGGAGGATGGCCCAGGTGCTTGGGCCCTGCACCCCAT